GAGGTTCGAAGACATTTTTGATAGGCTATCAATAAATTGAGGATCGTCTGATCTAATCTGGCTAGCGATTGCAAGAGATGTTGATGATAGTGTTTCCACTTGTGATCTGGTGCAGATGTATGACCGAGCACCTTCAACTAGGTGAGTCCATTAAAAACAGTATGGCCAACAACCAATGTCGAAGACTTACAGAGCTATTTATTTTGGAGATATGTTTACTGTTACATCAGTAACACATTTATCATCAAAGTATACCTACACAGTCAAGTCAGAAGTTAGAAGTGAAGATGTTCGAACATATATTGAAAGGCTTTCGATATCTCGAGAAGCGCTAGACCTAAGCCGGCTAACGGTTGTATATATGTAGCACGGAGTACCCAGTAGTGATCTGGTGAAAATGAATTACTGAGTGCCTTCTGCTAGATGTGTCCATTAAAACTAATTCGATCGACATCAGATGTCAAATACTTGCAGAACTATTGATTTTGGGGGTTTTTTGCCGCCACAATTCCGTAATCGGTAATCCCAAAGAAAGTCAACTCAGTAGTCCGGAATGAAAGAGTTCGAATATATATTTGGAAAGTAGCATGTAAATTAGGCTGAACAGTTGTTGTAGGAATGTGTAATACGGCTTACCGACTGATGATGCGTAGCGGATGCGTGAACAATCATCTTCAGCTGGGATGTGTCCAGTTAAGCTATTGAGGTAAGTATTAATATCAAAGATTTAGTAAACTGTTTTTTTACCGCTACAATGGTGATAACTTTCTTCAGAGAAGTATCAAAGAGGTTATTTAACTGACAGACTCTTATGGCTAAAACCACTCTTAATCTTTGAACCGTCATTTTGTTCCAGAATAATCTTATACAAGAGGGTTTTATTGTAAAAATATTTCCTGAATTAGATATGGTGGCGAGAAAGCTGAATTTACAAATAAGCAGCCTCAAGGTAGGTCAGTTAAAATAGAATTACACAATATACTGACCACTATAGGCTATATCATTTTTAGTTGATTGGTTGTTTTAGTGGTCTATTTTGTAACGCGGGGTTGTACTGTTTCACTTCCATACTCATCTGTTGTCATGTCTTCGTTTCGTGCTGCTGGACTGGTTGCACGGCAGTTGTCCAAAAGAAATCCATGCGTGAGTTTACTTATGGATGCATCTACTTTTTTTATCTATATAAACCCAAAATAAGCAGGTTTCAATCTGTTGCGGTTTCTTTTGTCGGTGTAAAAGTCGTCCTGATGGTCTTTTTGACATATAACTTTAGTAATATTTATAGTAGCGACCTCCTGTTTCTCGCTTTGCAGCCCTTCCCATCCTAGGTAGTTATATCTCTTAGATTATCGACCAGTACTTACGTCAGGTTGATTCCTGGAAATCACATTGGTATTATATGCTATAGCGTTAGTACAAGTTACCTAGTGAATGCGTTTGTATAAATCTAATTAAGAGTATGTATTGGTTCGGGTCGCCAAGACAAAAGATTTTGACAGCGAGTGATCAAAATAGTGTATTTCATTAGGGGAAAACGCGTTGAGAATGTATTAGATGACATGACATTAAGACGAAATCGTCCATGCACGTAGTTTGCTTCAGTAACTTCACAAATATAGTATATCAGTCTTTCAGCCAGAATTCGGTGGAACAACTCCTTACTGATAATGGAACTTATCATAAGTCATTCGAGCTCCAGGCAACTTAATTCTAGGGTTTTGAAACAATCCGTCCAGTTAATTTATTTTTAAACCTGTATATTATACGTTCGTATCCTGTGCTGGAAATTTTTAGAAACAATACTAGAATCACAACTTTTATATGTGTCGAAGTTAGACTGCACCTTAAAGCGTGACCGTTTAAACCAACAAACTTCTAGGAAACATCAAGATGAAATTTGCAAGAAAAAAGTATAGTAAATATGCGCAAATCATATTCGCTGACAGAAAGGAAGTGTGTAGCGGAGTATTTGATTTGCAGACCAAAATCTCTAGTATATGGTGAGTCCTGACTCGCTGCTTAAGGTCCAGTATTCTAACGTTTGGGTTACATCTATGGACCATCCCCACTTGCCTCAGCCTGCACAACTGAGTGGCAGTACCTACTCTTGCAAATACCAAGTATACGAACACGTTCTGTTGAGGAAGTGCATCATTAAATATTCGGATGTCCATATTAATACATATTAATTTGTCTTAAGAACTGGTATTTTTCATAGACCTGACTTGACTAAGTAAGAGCACTATTAGAATGGATCCATGTTAAGTCATCTATGTGCTGTTCGGCTAAACAGCTGCGTAAGAACTCGGAAAGATAGGAACACACTCTGTTGCCTTTTCGTCGTTTCTGCATATATTCGCACCGACTGCAGCCCGGATGAAATGAAAGATGACTTAGAGAAAGCTAAACGCTCAAATATAATACTCGTAACGGGTAACTTTAATGCTCAAGTAGGTAGCTTAAGTCAAACACTAAGACATGTAAGTAGGTATTTTAGTATCCCGGCTCAGCGAACAGATAATGGTGATCGTCTGCTGCAACTGTGCTAAGACAATGTTTTATTTTTAGCAAACACAAATTTTAAGCATAAGGAGAGACATCGTCTAACATGGCGACCCCTTGCACCAGACCAACGATGAATTCAAATAGACCATATTGCCATCATTCGTCGTTGGAGAGGCTCGATAGAAGACCGTTGCTCATTCTGCAATACCTGCATTTGACTCTGTAAACTGAGAGGTTCTATGGCAGTGTCTGTCACTGAAAGGTGTACCTCAGAAGTACATAAACCTTGTGAAGGTTCTCTACTACTACTAGTCGAGTCAGAGTTTATGGCGAGCTGTCATCTGATTTCGCAACCTCAAGTGGTGTCCGTCGAGGCTGTTCATTATCTCCATTTTTGTTCAATAACGTCATATATCTACTGCTAGAAACAACGTTCTCGTTGTCTAAATTCTCAGAAATTGATCTCCTAGGAGGTCCACTTATCGATTCAGAATATGCAGATGATATAGTCCTGTTTGGTGACGACTGGTAAAATAGTCTTTTGGTAACACTGAGCAACAACACCTATATGTTTAGGATGCGGTTCTACCCCTCTAGATGCAAGTTGTTGCTTCACGACTGGTCTGCGTCATCACCTAAACCAAGGTTGGGGAGTGAAGTAGTTGAACGCGTTGACAGCTTCACTTAGAAGTCTGATCAGCCCTAATGGGTTGAAGTCTGACCAAATCTCTGCACGGATTCAAAAAGCTCGTTTGGCTTTTGACAACTTACGTCACCCTTGGAGAAGGCGAGATATCCGTTTACAAATTAAGGGACGAGTATACTACGCAGCAGTTCGTTGTGTTCTATTCTACGGCAGCGAAATGTGGCCATTAAGAGTAGAAGATACTCGTGAGTTACTAGTACTTGATCACAGATATCCTAGAAGTATTGCTCGCATCTGCTGGGATCACCGGTTAAGTAGTAGTGAGGTTAAACGCCTTGTACCTTTATTTCTACGAACTGCTTCATTACTGTATCCTTATACTCAATATTTTATATAATATTACTATTTAAGTAACTACTATGCATATATGTGCCTGGTTCTACGTTGTGACTGACTGAGCCTTATAGTTCTGTTACTTCATGTAGTTTAGGTGTTTGTAAAAGGCCCGTTTTGTAATTAGACCATGATTTCCAAGCTGTAAGTTTTCAGGTTGGAATCTTGTTCTATCGGCTTAGGCTGGTGTGCATATTCAGTCAGGTTCTGAAATAAAAGGAAATGTTTGTTTTTGATAATTAAGCTTCATTGTCACTAAATGTAAAGTGCACAATGCGATGGTAAAAAGCAATCTTACACGTGCTACTGATGATCCTAAACCGTGTAATTCAGAGTCTAACTATTCGTTACAATGTTTGCGTGGACTCTAGTCATGTGATCCTCACCAACCTACATAACTCAGTTCAACAGTCAATGACTCTATGGAATTTTGCTGCGTCTTGATCTGACTGCCTTTGACTTATCTCTAGTCTACTACACCAGACGCATCCCACTTATGCCCATTTGTTGGATGACTTGACCATATGCTTTATCATTTTCCTTTGACAACTATCGGTTTGTTCCGTTAATTTAACTGAACCACGTGACATACATAAAAGCAAAGATAAAATTTAGGCTTTTTATTAAAATAAAAGAATTCTAGTTGTTTTGTTTCTCTAAAATATATTAACCTAGAGCTGTTTATAACACCCTTTTCCTCCGCATCATGATATCACAGCCCATATTTTTCAATTCCTAGTTAATTTAGCACTTGTTATTATTACCATGTACATTGCATACATGTTGCTACTGATCTGTAAAATTAATGTTTTCCTCTCTTTTTAGGTATTTAAACAACTTGGATGCCGATGGCTATCCACTTCATCTACCTTAAAAGCTGGAGCCCCAGAATTCTCCAGTATTTTAGAGGAACGCATTTTAGGACAAACATTACAAACAAACTTGGAGGAAACTGGACGTGTCCTGAGTATCGGTGATGGGATCGCACGTGTCTATGGTCTGAAAAATATACAAGCGGAAGAGATGGTGGAATTCTCGTCTGGATTAAAGGTATAACCATCTAAAGTGTTAACATTCCTTAGGGTATGGCTCTAAATTTGGAGCCTGACAATGTTGGTGTTGTCGTTTTCGGGAATGACAAGCTAATCCGTGAAGGAGATATTGTTAAGCGGGCAGGGGCCATTGTTGACGTGCCTGTCGGAGTAGAGCTACTTGGTCGGGTAGTTGATGCCTTAGGTAATCCAATCGATGGAGCAGGTGCTATCAATACGAAAACAAGACAGCGTGTTGGAGTTAAAGCTCCAGGTATCATACCACGTATTTCTGTTCGTGAACCGATGCAAACTGGAATTAAGGCTGTTGATAGTCTCGTTCCCATTGGCCGTGGTCAGCGTGAACTAATCATCGGAGACCGTCAGGTATTTTTAAAATTTTCAATAGTGTGATTCGTCTTTAGACAGGTAAAACGGCTATTGCAGTCGATACTATTATTAATCAAAAGCGTTTCAACGACGCAGCTGATGAAAAGAAGAAGTTGTACTGTATCTATGTTGCCATCGGACAAAAACGTTCAACAGTTGCGCAACTAGTCAAACGTTTGACGGATGCAGATGCTATCAAATACACAATCATTGTGTCCGCAACAGCATCTGATGCAGCTCCGCTTCAGTACTTGGCTCCATACGCAGGGTGTGCGATGGGAGAATATTTTCGTGATAATGGAAAGCATGCATTAATAATTTATGATGATCTATCTAAACAGGCTGTTGCCTATCGACAAATGTCACTTCTGTTACGAAGACCTCCGGGGAGAGAAGCTTATCCTGGTGATGTGTTTTACCTGCACTCTCGATTACTGGAAAGAGCTGCTAAGATGAATGATTCCTATGGAGGCGGTTCACTAACAGCCCTTCCAGTCATTGAGACTCAGGCTGGTGATGTATCTGCATACATTCCAACGAACGTTATCTCTATAACTGATGGGCAGATTTTCTTGGAGACTGAGTTATTCCATAAAAGTATAAGACCTGCTATCAATGTTGGTCTTTCTGTTAGTCGTGTTGGGTCTGCTGCACAAACTAAAGCTATGAAACAAGTTGCTGGTCGCATGAAACTAGAGTTAGCTCAATATCGAGAAGTAGCTGCTTTTGCTCAATTTGGTTCTGACTTGGATGCATCTACTCAATCCTTGCTAAACCGGGGTGTTCGTTTAACGGAACTCTTGAAACAAAATCAATATGGTATGTAAATCTAAAACTAATCACTCATTTTATTTAGCTCCAATGGCAATTGAACAACAGGTTGTTGTAATATACGCTGGTGTTAGGGGACATTTGGATAAGTTGGACCCATCAAAGATTATCCACTTTGAGAAAGATTTTCTTAAGTTTGTCCTAGCAAATCATCAAGATCTCCTAAAGACCATTCGTGAAGATGGAGAATTAAAGCCAGCAACTGATGAAAAACTGAAAAAGATTGTAGTCGATTTCTTGGCTGGGTATCAAGTGTCTCCATAGACAGTCAAATAAAGTATGCAACTATGGTAGTATCTTTTCATAGGATTGGCGAGCTCAATAATGTTATTTGCAGATTTCCGTCACCAGTTCTTTGTACTTAGTCTTATTAATAATAAAATTACCTTGAAAGAAAAGTGCTTCAACTGTTTATTTTTGTATGGTGTGTAAATTTGGAAACGCAACAATCGATCGGTATATTTGAATGTGCTCCACTCGATGTATGGTTATAAATGTTTTATTAACGATTAGTCTAGCATTTGTACTATTATTAGTAGATGACCGTATAAGGATGATTTATATTGACGAAGTCCTCATTGCCAATTCTTAGAAATAAAGATATGAACCGTGTTCTTTTATGTAGTGATACCAGTGAATTGTATCGACTGAATGTTCTCGCAACTATGGTACTGCATGGAGGTTTAAAATGCTAGTGGGAGCTCTGTACTCAAACGAATCCCCCTGTCTATGCATTACCCAGTGGGTGGAATGCCGGAAATTCTTCATGAGCAAAATATAAATGCGTATTAAATAAACGTTTGACATTTGTCAAATTCCTGTTGTGTTGTTGGTACCTCTGATTACTTACAATTTTGGGAAGCAGTCCCCTAATTTATGACCTAAAAATTTAAGATGGATATGAGACATTTTGTGTCTTTTGTGCAGAACCAGTAAATAATCTTGTCGCAATCGGGAATCGATATAAGTTAGACAGCCACTTGGAGCTTTGAATGGCTGTTTCATCCCACCGAGCTGTGCTGTGAGATTTATTATCCCTAGATATTGTCATTACTATGTTAGAAATCAGTTGTTTTAATTTCCGTTTGAAATGGGAATGGTTAAGTAATACCTGTATCTTTATATTCGTCTTAGTCTTGTTGATATTGCCATTGTTTACCTAAAGACATGTTATCAAACCATTTTTATACTGTTGTGAATTGCAACCTAGACCGATCCCAATTTGTTAATTACTTGACTTTCGAAGTGGTACAATCGTGGGTTTTCGGTCACTTTTTAAGACAATGCAGAGAGGTGAATAATATTTTGAAGCGGAAGTGGTTTGTGAGATAGTTATCTAGTCTACGACTCCATATCTCACATCCCAAAGCCTTGAGAAAAAGTGTATGATGGCGAGATAGTATAACTGCTTCTAGTACTCAATTCTTGAATAGAGTTTATCACTTCTCAATTCGTCTGACTGAATGACAATAAGTCTGTCCCATACTACTGTTTGGTATTGGCTATTCATTTGTTTTGCGATGTTACAGTATAGATTTGCCGTGTTGGCGTTTTAGCTTTAAATATAACATTTAAAGTATGTGGTGTTTTATTAGTCATACCAGTTTCTCTTTTGTACCTTTTTTTCAAAATGCAAATGCTAGAGAAAAAATGATCGTTTACGTGCTTTTTGAAAAGAAATGATGTGCTGTGTATAGTTGCTACTTTCTTTCTAAACGAAATTACACATATGGTCATACCTACTTTTTGAATATTTAACCGGCCAATTCTTCGTACAACAAGCAATTAGATCATGATCGATAAAATTTGTGCAAGCATTGATTATAATCGACCGATTACAATGTAAATAGTGAAAATAGCCTTGGATTAGTCTCAGATAAATAGCTTAGAAATGCAAATTATACTGTGTTACTTTTTCTAGGCTTAAGCGAATGACGTAATCAATAGCTAAGAGTTGGCTTTACAATTAACTATAATAACTAAGTACATTTTACCTGTACGATTGAGCGTTGATTATTGATTTCGATAGGTCATTAATCCCATTTTAGTCAAATACGATTTTCAGTATTTGGTGATTTAAAGTTTTTTTTCGCTTAATACACTTGTTTTCGAAGTAAGCTTACTTTCCTTATGTTAAAAAAACTTAGTTCCATCTTGAAGAATTTACCATACCTAGGAGTTACGGTTCAACTTTTATAGTGTTTGACCTTCATGCACTTGGCTTTTCGTACTCTATTCCTACTTTAGTTCGATGTGAGTTATATTATCACTATCTCATCCGAAACGCCTTGATTCTTAACCCAATAGGTGTGCCTATGCTTGTCAAGAAAGTTATATTGGGATATCAACCATACTATGGGAAAACGGCCTTGACGTGTTTATGCCATTTTCCTTGTATAATGTCAACAGTTCTATTATTATTTAGTTTATTTGAAATGAACAATGTAAGGTTTTCTTCGAGAACTGAACAGTTATTTCTGCGTGGGCTATATCTCAGAAGTGATACCTGCCTGCGACTTCAGGTTTCGCGTTGAGCATGATACCGTTTGATCTCTCCCTCCCTCTCGAAATGCTCTCACGCGTATACAGCCTCTTCCAGAGAAGTTCTACTCACTGCCTTCTCGTGGTGGGGGTGTTCTTCACGAAATCGAGAGAACGAAAAGCGAATATTCGGCGCTTTAACCGGGCCAGTGAGTCCACCTATGGGAGTTGGGAAACCCTGATTCCAAACCAACGGTGCACATGGGCTGCAGTATCATGAGGGAACAAATGGCGTATGAACCTATTGTTGGTCACCGGCTACCATGGGACTGCATCTCCCCACGATGCTTCACTGCCTTGTGGATCAGGTCGAAGGCTCCGGGTGTGGCCCCCTAAGGAAACCACCTGCTTCGGTCTGAGCACCCGGGCAGTCTCACAGCCCACACACAAATACAATGAAATGACGATAATTACTTAGAATACTATTCTCGCCTCGATTAAAAGTCATTTGATTGACATTCATTCCTCCTTTTTTAATACGTCACTTAGTTTCCATAGATATAGAGAGTTCATCATTAGCGTGTGGGCTGCGATATTGCCCTGGTGCCCAGACCGAAGCAGGCGGTTATCTTAGTGGGCCACACTCCGAGCCTTTGAACTAAAGATCTAGCCCACAAGGCAGTGGAGCATCGTAAGGAGATGCAGTCCCATGGTAGCCGGTGACCAAAGATTGGTTCATACGCCATTTGTTCCCTCAGGATACTGGAGCCCATGTGCACCATTGGTTTGGAATCCGGTTAAAGCGCCGGACATTCGCTTTTCGTCCTCTCATTTTCGTAAACAACAGCAATGCCGCGAGAAGGCAGTGAGTAGAACTTTCCTGGCAGAGGCTGTATACGCGTGGCCGTGTGAAAGTATTTCGAGAAGGAGAGCGGACTCTCCCCACTCTCGGCCGTACCAGGGCTTTTGGGGGCTGACATCCAGTGGCAACATCATGTCAGTAATGCAGAGGTTCGGCATCGTGTGTTCGGGCACAGCGATGATAATGCAATCGATGTCATCATCTTGAAACACCGACTTCGGTGGCTTGGACATGTTCTACGAATGTCGTCCCAGAGAATTCCACGTCGTGCATTATTTGCCGAATCTGGGACTGGTTGGAAGAAGCGGAGAGGTAGTCAGTGCATGACATGGTGTCATGGTATGAAAGAAAGCTGCAAAGGACTGGCTTCTGTTGGTCCTTCACGGCTCCCGGGTTGGGGTCCGAGAGATGGTGCTACACAGTGGCTAGAGACGTTATCAGATATAGATCAGAATAGAGGCCAGTGGCGATCCTGCTGTAACCTTCTATTACTTTCTTCATAAAAAGTGGTTGTGTCTTCCTTAACTGAAAGACTTCTTCTGATTGTACCTTTCCGTTCCCTCATTATTACCACACTACCTTACACCAATCTCTTCGTTATTCTCTTTTTTCTTTCTCTTCGAATTCTCATTGTTTTGTGTGGCGCATATATATTGGCGCTCTCTTGTACCAATATTTATGTGTTCAAATAAATAAATAAAAATAGTACGTCACTTGCCCGATCTCTTTTATTCCCACTTTGTGTATCCTTATTTCTCAACTTATACAGCAGCTCTCCTATGGTGGAAACTGTCCTATCTAAACTATCACGAGTCACTGACTGGTCGAAAATTGAGTGCTACCGCCGAATACTGAAGGTTTTTCCGAGATCACGTGCACCATTCAAACTGGCTTACTTCAACTTTCGCACACTAATGCAGACCAGACAACAGATAGGGCTGGCTATGTCTTTAGAAAGTCTTAATATTGGCGTCTGTTGGCTATCCGAGACTCGTATTCACCACTCTAGTGAAGTACTACGAATTCGCTCTCCATCTGTCGCTTCAAAAGGCTTGTTATACGTGCGTTTATCTGGAGACCCTGTGGCATCTTCGTCTGGTCTTGCTAGAGTTGGTGTCTCACTAAGTGCTAAAGCTGAGGCAGCACAGACCGATTGGATACCCAATAACAGTCGGTTATGTGCTGTTAGATTAGAAAGTTCCATCAAAGTGAGAAATCAATGTGAGGAACTATGTCTTTTCGACATCTCCGCCTATGCCCTGATAGATTGCAGCCCGGATGCAATCAAGGATGAAGTTTACCACCAGTTATCTGTTCTCCAGAAAGTGCGTTCGACAGATACTGTAGTACTAGTCGGAGACTTGAATGCCCAAGTCAGGCGTCTAGACGCGTAAGAGAGTCGTTTAGGTGGCCGGTGGGGACTTGTTGGTCGCAGGACAGATAACGGTGACCGTCTAATGCAACTGTGCACAGACCACAGCCTGTTTCTGGTTAGCACTAACTTCCGGCACAGTCATCGCCGATGTGCCACCTGGCGTCCTCCCTCTGTATCTCAAGTCTGGACTCAGATTGATCACATCGTGAGTCTACTTCCGATTGCGTCCAAGCTATCGGCTTCCGTCATACTTCGTAGGTTGTTCAAAACCCGAGAAAGATTGACTCGCAAGGAACAGGCTGGTTTTCGTTCTATTTAAGGATGCATTGATCATATCTTCACGCTCCGCCAAATGTTAGAACACCGTCATACTTATCACAGGCCAACAATCGTAGTGCTTCTTGACATCAGAGCTGCCTTCGATTCGTTGGACAGAACTGTTCTCTGGGATTGTCTATTGAAGAAGGGTGTGCCTGAGAGGTTTATTAACATCCTAAAAGCCCTACATACAAACACCTCAGGCACAGTGAGGACATACAACCACCT